ATTTTAAAATCTCTCTTTTTTCTTTCTGTCTGTAAATGTCTCTGTATTATTCTTTACTAAATATACAATAATAGAAATTTAATTTCTATTTATTCTAATTTAAATTCACTACAGAATTCATCTAGAAAATAAAATAAATGTAAATTTTTTTATATGTTCGTTTTGCCTAATGTACTGGACTTTAGAAAACAACTGAAATGTACTAATAGATGCGACACACGAATACTTCGGACCTTCTTAAATGTAAATTGAAAGCAGAAACTGAATGGATATAATGAAACAAACAAAAATGTAGATGTGTTATTCAGAAGAAATTAGTGTTAACTTCAATAATGGGGTCGTTGGTTGGGACAAATTTGCTTTTAATTGTTTCTCAGAGAATGCTCGCGTCTCAAGTGGTACATGAAATTGGATGGCGTTTGCCCTTTTTGTCAAAACCTGGGCCTTCCTATCCAACTCGTTTTTTCACCATGTTATGACTATATTTTCGTTTGGATCTAATTTTCTTGAAAGCCTTCCAGAGGTTGACAGGACACGAGGATGCTTCCAAAATGTTGATAAATGCCTGACAGGCCGACGCCGCTAAGTTGGATGAATATCTTCTGTGAAAGGCTAATGGTACAGCTGCCGCTTTCTCCTGAACACTGACGATTTTTTTTCGCCCTACATTAATATTATTGTTGCAGTTATTGTCATATTAGGTTTTATCATATTCTCAGATTTGTATATATTTTTGATCTCCTTGACAGTTAGCCAATAAACATTATGATATTATGTTTTAACAATGGAACACAAAAAGAACCAATTTAATGATTATTATGTTTTCATAAATATTTTCCTTTTAAACAGATTATCTTTGCCTGCGTGAAGGAGAGAGGGTGTGAGAGAAAGAGAGATAGTGAGGAGAGAGAGAGAGAAAGAGAGAGAGAGAGAAAATTTTAGAATGTTAGTTATTTTAATTATTTCGTAGATACATTTAATCGTATTATAGTAATTAAATACAAATTTTATAACAAGAGGTGGAATCTAAATTGCCAGCACTCAATAAATAAAGTACAATAATTGATCATTGAATATTCTTCCTTTGAATAGGAAAGTTTTCTTAATTGGCCTCTTCCACGATATCTTGCCGCGAGGAATTTACGGCTTAATTTACGCAGGGACGGATCGGTAGACTAGAAAATGTTGTAATTTCCTGTTTTCCCCGACGTATTAGAGCCCACCGACACCACGATATTCGTAATATTAATGCGTTCCAAGCAATCGTTATTAGACTTTTTTATTACTTACTTACAATTTTTTTACTACTATAATCGCAAATTGAATCTTTTGAATCGGTATAATTTACGAACCGTTAGTAAATTGGGCCGGAAATTTGAGTTAATTTGGAACTACAAGACTGTGTAGAGAACTTCATTTAATTCCCCAAACTTTCAAATATCCAGACTGTAAATTGGATTTGGATTTATTTAAGCTCAAATCTGCACATACATACACATACGTACTGAGTTGAGCCATTCAGTTCTCGCAGTACACCGGCTTTTGTAATTGACAATAAATTAATCCAAGTTGGGTGTTGGCTGTCGCCGGGCAGACCTCCGTTCAGCCACCGAGGTTAGGCTCTTGTCAATAGCTACATCAATTCAGCACCCAAGGCATGCACTTCCTAGATCCAAACCCATTCACACTCTCAGTCTTCTTTTCTCCCAATCTTTTATCAATTTCACAATCTCTCACTCAATCAATCTCACTTCTCAATCGTTCAAACACATTCTTGTCTATTTACATATCATTCACTCAGGGTTGACTTTATATCTATTTTATACTTAATTGTAGGTCGATGGGTTACTCAATATTCCGTCATCGGCCTTTCAGACTACATATTCACACCAATAAATACAGTCGCTCTCATTTCACGCTAGGGACACAAAACTATCATTACTATATACAATAAAACAACCCTGTTTCCTCCAAAAATCGGAACAGGAGATAACATATACCGAGGTATTATTCCTACACGCTTTCTAGATGGAACCAAGAATCGGACCCTTCAATTAGGTGGGACCGTCAAACCACCTCTTCTTCTATATATGCCGGAGATATGCGGGGGCTTTGGTCCAATAGTGAGCGTACGTTTGTCAACTTTGAATGTTGTTTTTTTACGAGGGTTCTCAACAGCACAGGTGTACTGCGTGCCGATGTTTCGTCCCTGGATTCGAGCCCGGGACTTTTACCTTACAGTGATGAGCGCCGTGACAACGCTTGAACTGTTGCGGCCACCGACGCCCCTCGAATGGCTTATTTTTAATAGGGTGAGGATGACCTTTCTTCTACGAGTTAGATCCTCCCAGGGCTACCTATCGACAGTGGTACGGAAGTGTGAGAGTTTCTCTGCCCTCCCGCCCCACCGAAGCTGTCACCTTCTTTTAATTACGTTTTTTTTCTGCATTTTTAGCTTCAGAGGGCCGAATCGAATGAAATGTAAATAGAAATATCAAGAATATTTCTATATATATATTTTTCCCCAGTTCGTCCAGGGCTGCTGGATTCGAACCCGGGACCTTTACCTTACAGGGCCCTGTCAACCCTTCACCGTTACAGCCACAACGCCCCCATTTATCCTTATTGAAAATGTTAAATATAACATCTTCCAATGGCATTAATACACCAGCGAAATATAAGTTAAAATAAAATTGTCTATTTCAAATATAGAACGTTTTATTTTCATTTTCTCACGGTTTATGTTTTAAGTGGTATTGTTTATAGCAGAGATTCAAAACCCAAAGAAATACAAAATATTCCTTAATTTTTTCTTTAAAATCAGTAGGTCGAAGGTTATAAGAGAGTTAAGATTTACAAAACCAAATTTGAGTGACATTTTTCCGTCTTACTCATTGCAATGTTACCCAGATCCGTCAGATTTATGTAAACGAGGCTAAATAATAAAAGTTCAACTCCCTGGAGTATAGAGTGTCCTAAAAGATTGCGAGATATTAAAGGGTCTGACTATCCAAGCGGGTTTCTTTTAACAAGGGTTTTATTTGACAAGGAAACCGACGGGTCGGCCCTCCGTTGCTCTTTCTCACTCCCAATTCTCATCCGTTTCGAAACCTTCAAAAGAGCTTTCTTTAATGAAGCCCCGGGAAATTACTAGTTCCTGCTGATTTCCAATTAACCACCCCTTGTTGTGATTCCCTGGCGTAATGTAAAAAAAAGAAAAAGAAACCCTGATTAAGCATTGAAAACTAGGGGCAAATCCATCCAAGGTTAAAAGAAAAAGGCAAATGGAATTATATTCTAGGTGTTAAGGTATAAATAATAAAATAGAGACAACAAGAAATGCTGATCCAATATAAATTTCCGCCCAAATTGTACAAATGTAAATAACACATCGCTCCCTGACCTACGGACGCTGGGTTGATCGTTCTTACCATTTGCGCATAGGTCATACCAAGATCACACACGAACACCTTCCAATGGCGGTGAGACCACAGAAACAGGGCCCAATGAGTATAGAATCACGTTACAGCACATAATTTCAAGCTGCAAAGAACTAATTCTGCGAAGAAAGAAATACGACATATGTACGGCCTTGATGCACGGCAACAGACACTGTTTAATGTTAATCAATATCTCAGGGCCATGAATATTACTGCAATATTTATTAGAAAATTGAATATATTTTTAATTATATATAGAACTATGTACCTTCATATTTGTGATATATTTATTGGAACGGATGTATTTATTAGCGTGAATGGGAAGGATTATCCTCAATTACCCCTAGGAATATGTAGTACTCAGGGGTAGTGTCAATGGATTGTGGTGTGCGAATGTAACGTATTAGTATGAATGGGGGGACTCATCCCTAATTATACCGAGGAATATCGAGTATTCTGGAGTGGTGTGAATGCTAACCAGACCATCATGTTTTTATCTTGTTCCTTTGTTTATGTGTATTGGTATTATTTTATCCACAATTGACGAGGCATTGATATACAAAGAGGTTAGCAATAGGATAAAGAAAAGAGATACTCAGTTACCGTTATATCATATAACATCATAACTTGGATGAAGAAACATGAAAAACAAGGAGAAGGATTGAAACGCAAAAATGAAGAAAGCTGATTTTTATTTTTCAAAAAAATTAAATACTCTGATATCTTCTTTATTTTAACTACTTTATTTATTTTTTTAATGAGGGTTCGCAAAAACAGAGGTCATATCAACGCTCCGATGTTTTTGAAAAAAGACCATTTGTAAGTGAGCGCCGTGTCAGCTCGCTTCGGCGGTACATATAGTAAGATTTTAATCACGATAATTATAATGAGAATATGTTAACATTTAGTTAGTACATAGTATAATTGATTAATTTCAACTTTAAAAATAAAGAGCAGGCTTTTGAGTAATTTAACGATATACTTTAACACAATAATTCTAAACAATTCCTATTGATTTTCTGAATTTTTCTAACATTCATAATGAAAATTTTACATTTTCATACTAAATTTAATTTTAAGGCACCTTTCCGTCCTAGTGCATAAGATTTAACAGTGAAAAATGCTAATATAATGTGAGGACATGCGACGAATAAATGAGTCTATATTAGCATATTTTTGATTGTTGAATTTACAATGAACAAATTCCTTAGAATAGAAAGTTTTACAACTACGAATAATAGAACTCAACGAATAAAATTTTAAATAATAGCACTTCCACCAAGAAAATATTAAATAATTCAACGTAGTATTGATTTGATAAATTTTCCTCCTATAGAAAACGTAAATTGTTTAATTGTGATTTGGGTTTTCTTAAACTTGTTGGAATTTTGCGTCTTTTTATTAACTGTTGTTTTCTGAGGAAAGACGGGTTGTACGGTGGGAAAGGACATGTGGGGTCCTGGGTGGTGATGAGCTTCCTCCCAAGCGCTTCGTTCATTCCTCGCGTGCTTTTCTCTCTACGCAGTGAGTGTAAAGTACTTCTAAGCAGTTATCACCTACCAGCAAGAGTGTACAACGCACAGGCTATAAGAGTTTTGTGGTCGTTGTTGCAATGTCCAATAAGCGCAGCTAATGTCGCCATTAGTAGCAGGATCACAGCCACGGCAGCAAAAGGCATAGATACCCTGAAACAAACAATAGAAAAATATAAGATTATCTAGTTTGCGGATAAGTGTAGATGTCTATTTTTGAAATAGTCTAATTTGAAATAATAAATACAGAACACAGTTGACAGACACGGAATATGATGTAATGCTGATACACGTCGGAACGTACAGATTGAATAATGCCATCAGATAAATAGCGCTATTTCTCTCTGGCTAGATTTTTGCTGTATGTAGAACTAGATCATGATCAATTATTCTAAAAGATATATGACACAATAATGTCTGTTTGATATTTATTTTGATTTATTTTATTTCTATTTTGATCTAATGTTTTGCAAACTCGTCTACCGCTAATCACTCTCTCTCTCTCTCTCTCTCTCTCTCTCTCTCTCTCTCTCTCTCTTATTTGTGACCTAAATTAGGACGATTTTTAAATAAAACGATATTGAATGATTCATTCATTCTCATACTCTCTCTCTCTCTCTCTCTCTCTCCCTCTTTCGCCATCTCTCTCCCTGTTTTGTTTTCTTATTTGCGACCTAAATTGGGAGATCTTTCCAATAAAAAGATATTCATTTTCTCTTTCTCTCTCTTCCTTTCTATCTATTTTTCTTTTTATCTTCTTATTTTTCATTTATTCATACACAAACGCATTTAACGTGTATAATTATTGACATATATTCCAATACCGACCCCTCATATAAATAATGAATTTAAATTAACAAAAAAAATTGAGTACAGCTGTTAAACAAGTAATCCCGGAAACTACATGAGAGAAAAAACTAATTTTTTAAAAACGTGGAAATCGGAAAAGCCTCCACTCATAATTCTAACGGCCGGTCATGTATAAAGGACACCCTTTTAGAAAGCCTGTGATAAAGGCATTATCAAGGGGAAAATATAAATTACAGGGAGTTATCGGCCAGTGAAATATTTCACCTGTTTTTCCTTTAAATCCCTATAACTTTCAAAGGGAAAAAACCACAACATTTTTACTAACAAAAACCCTAAAAGAACTGAATTCTAACTCAACAATATTTTATACATTTTCAGCAACAATGTGATGTACTATGTGCCTATACATATAGTATTAGTAAGTGCAACTGTGTTATTTGGTATCTCTATTGACGAATGTTCGAATAGGGATATCACAGTTTAGCTACTTTTTTTAAACTTTATTACTTAATAACTTAATTGTGTATGTTATACACTGACAGGCAAAAATTCTACCCACCTGAAATATAACTTGATTTGTTTATATTTTCATATATTAATAAATATTTCACGTTTTTTAGCGTTTAATAATTGAGTCTTTGAAATAAAATGAAAAAGGAAATTAAAAAAAGACGGGCAGATAAAATTTGTTTTAATTAGATATTTAATTAACATTTCAAAATCGCGCATTTCATCCTCTTGCCTTAATTATGTCTCGGAGACGCCTCGGCATACTTTCTACCAGTTTGGAAATGTCTCTTTGCTGGTGGTTAACCCATTCTCCATAAAAAGTCTTTTCAAGATCGTGGAGTGAACCAGGAAGAAGGTAGACGTGCTTTTATTCGTCTTTTGAGGTTATCCCATAAATGTTCGATCAGGTTCTAGTCTGGAGAACGTGTTGGCCAGGCTAAGACCCTGATTTATGTTGTTGAAGGTACGTTTGTACTATGCGTCGAAGACCCTCCACGAACAACAACCAACTCTTTTCGACTCTCCTTTGAAATTCCCGCCCACATCATCACTGTGCTACGTTGAAAAGGTTGGCTCTGGGACAAACTACAGGCTTCGTACCTTTCATTTCGCCTTCTCCACAATCTTTCACGTCCATCTGGACATCGTAGAGCAGATCAACACTCATATAAAAAAAATACAGCAGACCAATCGTCCAAAGACCAATGGCCGTGTTCTCGATCAAATGGCAGCCGTGCAACTCTGTGAGTTCTGGTCAATTCTGGTCCTCTTACGGGGCAAAAAGCCATCAGTCCATACTGATTTAACCTTCTTCGATCAGTGCGTTCAAAAATTTGGACACTTCGAACTTCCTGGAGCTGACGAATCCCTTGACCAAAAGTAAGGTGCAGGTTTCGCAAAATTCTCAAAGTAAAAAAAACGGTCATCCTGTGGTTTTGTTACCCTAGGTCATCCAGAACCGGGCCTTCTATGGTAGAACCCAGTTTCTGGAAAATGTCTAACGGCGTCTCGCATAGTTTCAAATAGCCGCATGCCTGATGGAACGTCATCATCCATCAGTGCCACACCTCGCGCAACATCATCAACACTAATTGGCATTTTTAAGTTTAAAAATTAAAATTAAGAAAACAAAGATGAAAACTAAACAGTTTGTTGCTTCAGAATTCACCTATAATTGATATTCAAAATTTAAAACAAAAATGAGAACACCAAACAATGAGACAAATTAAGGGCAGAATTATCTTTTATCAAGAAAAAAAAATCAATTGGGTGGAATTTTTTGCCTGTCAGTGTACCAGCAGATCGGATTTCTATTTGTGAGAGTGACATTACTGGTGTTATTGAGGAAACTACCCTTTGGCAGCCGCCATGGATTAATCATTCAAGAATCTTTATTCTCTTCAATCCACTAAGGGGTATTTGTGGGGAATGTAGTAATTGTAATTGAATGTTTGTGCGATCTCGCAAGTAACTGTGGAAACGTTTGGAACAGGTTTTAATGGATGAAAAATGTATATATTTAAGGAGTGTAAGTCTCACAGCGGAGTGTTTTTCCATTGGTGATATACGGTTTTGTAAGATATGGGAAGGTTGTGTAGAGAAGGGGTGACTTGTTAATATAGCCGTGTCATCTGCGTTTGTACAAGTAAGAGACTTCTAGTTTGTGGGCATATCAGAAGTAAAAATTGTGTTCAACCACTGAGGCACACTTGCAAGCACTTCTTTCATATCAGAAGCCTCTGATCCTTGGTTTACTGCGAAAAATCTCTCTTTAACGTATGATTGCATAATCATATAATAAACCTGGGATAAAATAGTTTTAGTTTGAATATCATGTAGTACATCATGCCACAATTTGTCGAAAGCCTGAGAAACATCTAAAAACACTCATGTCACGTACAGTTTCTACTCTAGACATGAGATAATCTGTAACTCTTGGAAGTTGATGAATAGTAGAATGATGATCTCGAAAGCTAAATTGATGGTTTGGTAAGATGTTGAACGTAGCGTTGGAAATAATATTTTTACGAATTAATTTTTCGAATAAGTTAGGTGTCGATCTAATAGGTCGGTAAGATGATGGGGAGTTAAAATTTTTATATGATTTTAGTATCATTTTAATATAAAAGAGTTTCCATTGGATGGGAAGAACTGTAGTACTTAGAATTGCATTAAGTTTAGCTAAATGAACTATTTAAATTAATTACGAATTTTTACTGATATAATTACAATTTATACTAAAGCGAGGAAAAATTTGAATATTAGTCAAACGAATTGAACGACGGAGGTTAAACAGCAAATGCAATTAAAGAAAGTTAAAAGGCTCTTAAGAAACCTAAACAGGAAGGTTTTATAGAACTCATTTGGGATCCAATTAGTTTCAAAGAGATTTTTACAACCCGGACGTGCGACAAAATTCTCCGTTTTATATTTATCAGATTTGTTTGTATTTAGATGTAAACTTAAAACTGTACAACAATTTACGGTTTAATTTTATTATTCTTATTGAATTTATTAGTTATCTATAATTCTTATTTATTAGTTATCTAAACTTCCGCTTTACATTATGTTTAATTGAATATAAAATAAAAGCATTAAAGTGTCATATTTTGATAGACTATAAAATCGAGGTGTGAGGCAAATTTTACTCGAATGAAAAAATTAATCCCCTTACAGCCATTCATTCATCACTATTACCGTTAGAGCAACCAAACTAAGTAAAAAAAAGTAAACTTTCATTTTTCTCTCCTGTAAAGTTTTTTTTGTTGAGTTGTATCACTTTTCTTGTGGGTGCGAAATGTGAACGACTTATTCAGAATGTCGAGCTCTCTACACGTATACATTCATATTCTTAAGCATGCATATAACAAAGAAATAATAAATAAAATACATCAGTAGTGTCCCTCCTTTAAGAACCATCTATTGGTATACAGATGGACCTAGAACACGAAAATGTACAGGGGTAGGATTATTCCGTCGTGGAACCAAATACTCAGAACGAGAGATGTACTCAATTCAACCTGAATAAAGGATACAAAAACAAGAACATAGCTATCATTCAGATAGTCAAGCAGCCAACAAAGCACTAAGCTCCAATATCATTAGTTCAAAGAACCAAACTAATCATATTAGGCACGCAGAACAAAGCCAGCATCTGCTGGGTTCGGACATGTGGGAGTGGAAGGAAACGAGAAAGCAGACAACCTTGCAAGAAAAGGAGCTGCTATATCGCTGTTAGGACCCGAACCCTTCTGTGGCATAGGAACGCACACTATAGACAGAAGGACAAAAAGCAAATGAGGAACAATGGAACTCACTAATTGGATACAAATAATCCAAGAACCCCCTACCGAATTTCGGAAGGAAAGAAGTACTAGAATGTATCACGGGAAAGGAATCTATCAGGATTTTAGGACAGTGCAAACTAAACGGGCATTGAAAGAATATTGGCATAACCCAACTCGGCACGTGCAGATTCTGCAAAGAGGCAGAGGAGACACCAACACACCTATTAACAAACTGTGGTGCTACACTTGCCCACAGGAGGAAGTGCTTGGGGACGTACAATGTAACCGAAGAAAAAATTCAACGACTGAAACCGCGCCTACGAATCAAATTCCTTGATGAGTTAGGACTCACCGGTGTGCTCTAGGCACAGAACGGGGATACATAGCTCTTAAAGGGCGCAGCATATTACTCATCCCAACTAATAAATCTACATTATTATTGTCGTCATAAAAACAATGTTTTAAGTTATACACTAAGTATTATTTTTTGAGAGACATTATTTACAACAATAAATGTTAGGGGAAATGGATATATATGTTATCTTA